AATGGCTTTTTAACCCACAGGGAGTTCTTAAAAAATGAAGCCTCCCCCCCTCTTCCAGCTCTTAATTATGTTGGAAATTAGAGCCATAAAATGGAAAGAATTTCAACAAAAGGGAACATTGAGCAGGAGTTTTGGGGAGCTGACACTGAGCAGGCAGGAGGGGTTTGCCCTGCCCTTGCTTCCAGCCTCCTGCTGTGTGCTGCACAAAAATGGACCAGCACCTTCCAGATCTGGGCAGGGAAATCAAACCCCAGGCAGGTCAAGATGTTACCAAAACCAAAGCTGTTCCTGGTGGTCACTGCTTCATTTGTGCAAGCACATTCTTATCCAGCCTAAAGGTTTGGCCCTGAACAGTGAAATCAGCTCTCACAGTCAAGAATTGGCTTCTGCCTTTTGCAGTCCCCCCAAGCCAACCCTTGGGCTGCAGGACAGGACTTTGCCACGTGCTGCTTATTTGTAATGGTGCAGAGAAGGATGAAATTCCAGGGGTAGATCCTGAGGAGAAGAGATGCAATGATGGACTCAGCAAACAGGCAGGGAAAAGGCAATTCCTTCAGGCTCTGCCCCTGTCTCTCCACTTACGCTGGTGTTTACACAAACATTGATTCCTGGGCCCTGCAACATGTGGAGGCACAAATGAACAAAACACCAGTGGGGGAGAATTTCCATGCACCAGAGTTTTGGGTTGCCAGCCAGAGAGCACAAATAAACACCAGGAGACTTAGTTGCTCCCTCAGATAACTGTGCGTGGCTTCAAGTGTGAAAACTCCCATGAGTTCTCAGGTTAGAGAGCAATTAAAAGCCACTGAGGGAAGCATAAAAATAAAGGTGACATTCCACTTCTCCCAGAAACCTCTCATCACACTGTGAGTCATAGTCTGAGATCTTAGATGATGCACAGACTGGTTTGGCACAAGAATGAAGTCCATGCAAAACACAAGCGTGAATCAAAAGGCGGCAGCATTTGCATCTGAGCAGTGACACAAAGTGGAGCTGCTTGGCAAGAGCAGAGGCTGAAGGTGTTAAGAGAGGAGCATGTTGAGATGTGCACGGTGGGGCTGCCTGGCAGGGTGAAGAGTAGGTGGCCAGGAAAGGAAGGTAGGTCAAACTCACATGCCCCAAATTCTCCATTGCAGTCCCATTACCGCCCCTTTTACGTCAACAAAGGCAATGGAGCCACTTCCAACGAGGCACCTTGAGTCCTGAAGATGTAGGGAAGAGCTGCAGCACTTGGAGTGAAGACTCAGCTGCGGATTTTCATGGATGTACCTGCTACTATATTAACCTCACTGCTCTAATCTCTGCCAGGGAGAGGGAAGGTGCAGAAGGGAATAGCCTTTCCTAGAGGAAACAAGGACTTTTTCCAAATCATCTAATCACCTTGAAAGCTCTGCAGGCCTTAACCACGTAACCCCACCCTCTGCTGTCACCTCCTCATCCCCTCTCTGTCCCTTTGCCTCTGCAGAGCGAGCTGCTCTGCTTCTCCTGGGAAGCATGCATGCTTGGGTAGCACCCCTCACTCTGCTCTACCAGTTGTCCCCTTGTCCTCAGTGTGTTGATATGACTATAACTGTTAAGTCCTGGTGAAGGTCCCAACCTGGGGAGACCCAAAGGTCTTCCTGGAATGGAGACACCCCAGCCAGTGGGAGCAGTGATGGGCTAAAGCTCTTCCCATGCCTCTCTCCCCTGTCACCTGGCCTTGCCTCTGGGCACACAGAGCTCCCACTGGGACCAGCTCCAGCACTGCCACCTTCCTTGGTCCCTTCAGACTTCCCCCAGCCTATGCCACTGCTGGCACCCTTCCTTAGAGCCCTTGGTCAGCTCAGCTCTGCTCCTGCTGGCTTCCAAAAAGCCAGCCAAGAGAAGCCATTCAGAGCTGCTGCAGCCCTAGGCCAGCTCCTGGTGGAGGGCAGAGAGGCTTTCTATCCCATTAAACTGCCCCTCCAGCACCTTTTCAAATTAAGAAATCAAAAGAAAATCCATCTTACTAATACAAGATTGATTAGATGCCATAGGTGTTGGGTGCTTTTTTTGTGTTCTGTTGTGCTTTTTTAATTCCCCCAAACCAAAACTGATTTATATCTTGCAGTTCAGGGGGTTGTTTTTTCCCTGCCATGAGAATTAGTTTCGTAACTTTTTCCCTTGGGATAATATTTTTATATGTCCCCTGTGTGAGTGAATCACATCAGCACTCCACCTGCAAACCAGCCAGGGCTGGTTAACCTTTCCATGATCTCACTGAGATTATTTTCCTTCCCCTTGGACAATGCTGAGAGGTTGGGTCCATACTTTGCCAAATCCTTCCCAGGCCAGTCGGTGGGAGCAGATGGCCAAGAGTAGGATCAGAGCTCTCCAACAGTAGGATCAGAGCTCTCCCAACAGTGAGAAGCAGCTGCAGAACAGACAACCAAGACCCAACAGCTACTTTTCATGGTTTGCTCTGGTCCAGCAGTTATTGAAATGGCTTCTCCCCACCTTTGCTCCCTGCAAATGCTTCCAACACTTTGCTGGGAGAGGTCACACCTCTTGCTCCCTGAAAATTACTTTCTTGCTAATCCCCCTGCAAAGATACTTGCTGCTTTTTCATCCAACACCTCAGACAAAACTTCTGAGGCTGAAAGTTGGTTGCTCCAGAATACTTGAAATGGCTTTTTTTTATTATTATTTTTTTTCCTTAAATGACCAGAAAGGAACAGGATAGCACGGGAAGGAAGGATGTGAAGAAAGAGAAACCAGGATAGAGTTGCTAGGAAATACACTGAAGGGTTTGAGTATGTGTGTGAAAGGATAAAATAAGTCCCCCTCCAAGTCTCATTGTTTGTTTTGCTCCTGAGCAGGTGTCAGAAATCACTTGGGTCCCTTATCTTCTAGTAAAAGCTTTCACCACCTCCTTCCTAGTCTCCAAAAATGTGGGCAAGGTCCCTTCTCCTCCCTCAAAACGAAGATATTAAGAACCCTCCATTCCTTCCTGCCCTATAGAAGACCTGCTGTGGGGTCAGCTGGGCTCTGCACAGAACCCACCAGCCAAAGAACCCAGTGTCCCCTTTCTCTAGAACTAAATGTCCCCTTCCTCCAGCTCTGTGCCCCCCCACCTCTGCAGCCCCCCCATCCTCTCTGCTCCCCTTCCTCCCCCTGCTTCAAGGGCCTCCCTCCCACCTTGCACACACAACAGGATCTGCTCCCCATTTCCTCCCCTCCCAGCCCTTTATCCCATCAGAGAAGTGTAGGAGGGGGCTCAGCTCCAGCCCCCCCCCTTGCATCTTTGCCCTCCCAGGAACTTGCAGTGCAGCTTCCAGGTGTATTGTGCATGAACTGGTTTTATCATGTTTGTCTTGAGCAGCAAAGCAAGAGGAATTCCACCTCCTCAGACAGGACACGGCTGCGCTGATGTAAATGAGGCCCTTCACCTGTGCAACACATACTGCAGAAATAAAGGAGAAAGCTCCATGTCTGACAAAAAAAACCCCAACCTGGGGACGTGGCCTCTCTCTGTCTTTGGTGTTTGTGCTTGTAAAGAGCCCCAGTGAAGTTAGGTCTCTTCATCAACACTCTTGAGAGAAGCAAGAGGTTGGAGAACCCACGTTCTGAGGTCCTAGAGTTTTCTTTTCACTGCTCTCTGGGTATTTTGAGTCCAGGCCATGTCAGCTCAGAAAAAAATCCCACATCCTTGAGGGTCAAAGCCAGACTGATGGACACACTTCCATTATAATACCTGGAGACTGGCCAGCAGATATGCTAGTTCAGTTCCCAGGCACTGGTGCCACACACAAGTCCTTCCCTACAAGGGCATTTCTAGAAACCACTCAGCCTGTGGATTGTCATGATTTCAGTGCCTCTCCCCTAGCAGAGTTAAACCTCCCCAGTTCCCACTGGAGGAAAGCACTTGCTCACTAAGTACAGGCCAAAATCAGCCTGAGAGAGACCAGGCTGTGTGGGAACCTGCTGAGCTGAGGAACTGTTCTGCCCCAACCTGGACCTGATGCTCCCCAAAGAGGTTGGTTCTGGGCACTATTGGGACCCTCCACCCACTTGAATCCTTCCGGGGCCTCCAGCTCTGCACGTCTCCCATTTCTTGCCTGTATCATGGCTTCTGTGGTCTCTGGGGAAGAGAAGAAATCCCTTGTGGGCTGCTAAAGATGCAGATTCAAGGCTAGACACACACAGAAGGAGACCTAACAGCTGCTGAGAAGAGGAACTGTGTGTGTGAATCTATGAGGATAAGAAGAGAGGCAGCAAGGTTTGTTCATGTCCCCCAGATACACTAAGACAGGGAGATTTTCAGAGGATGCCTAGAATATTTGTCCTCCCAGGTACTGGGTACCAGCTATTTTTCCCCAGACATTGCCAACAGTGATTCCTGAAGAGCAAGGATACTACAAATTCACTTGAGAAACCAGTAAATCCTCCTTGTTTACCTCTCCTGGGAGCTACCAGAGAACAGAGCTCAGCTCCTTCCCATCAATTCCACTCACTGCCTCCATTACTGTTATTACTGTGATTAAAAAGCAATCGAAGAGAAATCTTCTTCCTGTCCTGAAATTGCTGCAAACATCTCAGTTCCACTGTTTAAGCATGAGAAGAGCAAGTTCCAAGCACAGGCTGCACTCCTGGGCTCTGTGACACTAGAGAAAATAATGGAGCTCATCTCCTGAGCAGTCAGAGGCAGAGAGAGCAGGACTGGCCGTGCTTTAATTTCTCATTCTAGAATGCTCCATTATCTGTGCTAGTCCAATAGAAACACAACACAGGGACAGGTCCTCTTCTTCCAAGTGCAAGAGTCAGCTAAGAATCAAAGCAAATAGCTCCAAAATATGATAATCTTGAATATTTCATTCAGTGCACTCAATCACTTGACTTCTGCCACCACAGCAAGAGAGCTCACTGTTTTATCTTTGCACATATTAACTATAAAGCTTTAAAATTAACAATTCTTCCGGGGAATAAACAAGAATAATAAAATCTAATTGCTCGTGAACCTTTGAGTTTTTGCAGGGTTTTAATGACATAAATTTGCCACTCTCTTTCACAAAGTTGATGCAGAAATAGAGTGAATTTGCTAACGAGGGAGCATAAAATAGATGCATTCTTAAAACTATTGGGGTGTTCAAATCAAAGGCTATGATAGCTTCTGAATTTCCATTGCTAAGGATCTGATCTTTCAGGCTACAGACCCTGAAATGCTGCAGCATAACACAGCATTTCCTCCAGCCCACACTGAGGCCAAGAGGCAAAGTGACACCAGTTTCAGACATCAGCAGATGTGGCACAACTGGGAATTCTGCTGCCTCAGCCTGGCACAGGAAAAAGCTTTTTCACCTTGTTCAGCTCCCCTGGACCAGCTCACAGGCAGGGCAGTATGAAACATTCTCTTGCCTGGCAAAAGTCACAGCACAGTCATCCAGGAACTACCCCAAAATACAACAAGGAGAAACACAAATCTGGCTCAAGATGTTCTTTTCACTTCAGCTTTGTCCTCTCCATGGATGTTTAATCGAATCTCCAATTAACTCAATGGGAGGAATTGCTGAAATAACTCTTCTAAATAGAATTGTAAGGAAATGCCTTACAGGTTGATATTCCCCTTAGGAAAAAACACAACATTTGAGCCAGATAAAATGTGCATGGATAGTTGGGGTAATTCCTTTGCACTTTTGAGTGCATTTCAACTAATAATCTTACCCCCTGGAAAAGTTGCCACGCACGGTCAGACAAAGCTGCCTGCAGGTTAGAGTGTTGTAGGATAAGCTTCTTGCTCTTTCTACTCCTTGTTATGACAGGATTTCAGGTTTTTCTCTCTTCATGTTTTGCAAATAAGAGTTTTCAACACTTTCTCCCTGGGAAGGCAGGGAAGCATGGCCCTCCCTCATCAGAGACAGAGGCACAGGCCAGAGGGAGCAGTTTCCCTGGCATTGCTGATGCTGAACTGGGTGCTCTTGGGTATGTTGCAGGGGGGACCCAGAGCAGATCCTGTCAAACTCTACCTGGGACTGTTGGCTCAGGTAAGGTCTGATACCTGATGCTTTCCCAGAGTTAGCCTGTCTCCCTTGGGTTCCACTGTTGGACAATCTTCCAGGCAGGGCAGTATGAAACATTCTCTTGCCTGGCAAAAGTCACAGCACAGTCATCCAGGAACTACCCCAAAATACAACAAGGAGAAACACAAATCTGGCTCAAGATGTTCTTTTCACTTCAGCTTTGT